TTTCCACCTCCAAATACTGTTGGACTTTCAGGTGTACTATACTGTGTTTAAGGGACCCTAGTGGCATGCTGGGTTACATGCTAGACTGCCAATCACAGGATTAGCAGTTTGAAATCACCAGCTGAGGTGTTTGTTTGTTTTCCCTGCTCCTGTGAAGATTTACAGCCCCAGCCAAACAAAAATGGGTGGGGGTCGGATGGGGGAGAGTAGTTCTGCTCTGTCCTAAAGGGTCCACATGAGTCAGGATTGACCAGACGGCCGTAAGTGGGTGAGTGAGTGAGTGAGTGAGTGAGTAATACTCTGTTTTCACCACTAGTATGTCAGTCAGTGTGCCATACTGTGCTGGTTTGCTTGTGGCTGTGATGCCAGCAGCTCTATCCTTGGCATTTCTCATGTCAGCGATATCACTTGCAGTAGGCACATTTCAGCAGACCCTCCAGACTGAGACAGACTTGGAAGAAGAACCTGGTGATTTATTTCTGTGAGAGAAAAAAAGGGCCACTGAAAACCTTAAGAATAAAGGCAAAAACTTTGTCTGATATCGTGCTGGAAAGTGAGCAACTAGGATTGGAAGTCACTCCAAGTACAATTGAAGAAGAGCTACATCCTAAAGGTGAACCTAGAACAAGGTGGAATAAAAGCCTTCGGAGTTTTTATTTCTTAACAGAGCATGACTCAAAAAGACAAAGAAAGTTGAAAATACCCTTTAGTAATTTCAATGTGGAATGGACAAAGTAAATATAGCAAAATTGGAAGCTGTGAAAAATGAAATAGAATGTTTCAAGATCAATATCTCACTTATTAGTGAGCTGAAAAGGAGTAGTACTGGCCATTTGAATCAATTATACGGACTGTCATGTTAAGAGTGAAAAATTGAAGACAAGTAGCTCTGCATTCATTGCCAAAATGAGCATTACTGGATCTATCCTGAAGTGCAACATCCTCAGTGATAGAAAGAATCCTCCAAGAAAGAGTCGTTAGCATGAGTAGGCATTCTTATGCATGAAGCCCTCCTTCCAAAGACAAAGACACTGAGTTTTTAACCAACTTCTGCAGTCTGAGGTTGATCAAGTATGCAATAATGATCTATCTATTTTCATTCAGAATGGGAAAGTTCTAAACAAAGGGAAAGTACAACTAGTTGGAATATTTGGCTTTAATGATATTATGGGGAAAATTTGTAACACCAGTGGCCTATTCATTGGAAATACCCTTTTCAACAACATATACTGTGAGTATACATATGGATATCACTGTGCAAATTACATTGAGTAAAATCTACTACATCTGATAAAAGCAATGATGGAGAAGTTCAATATCATCGTTAGAACAAGCCCAGGGGTAGTTTATATGACATGATCATGTGCCTATGCGAGTTCAAGTTGAAGCTCAAGAAAAACAAAACAAGTTTGTTTTGTTTAGAGAAAGAACAGTCCTGTGTGATCACGAGGTGTC